CCACCCCCATCAGCAGCAGCATCACCATCACCACCACCACCACCCCCACCACCACCAATGCCATCACCATGTCTTAGTTGCTATCATTTTTGAATTTAAATTGAGTACTTGTGGTTCTCTACCCAGCTTCTTGGCTCCTCTCTGGTCCAGCCATCGCTGTAGGAACCTGCTCTCTTTGTGCGTGACCTCACAGTCCCCCCTCTCTCTCTTCTCTGGAGCTCTCCTGTGGTTCCTATCCGAATCCTCCTGAGCTAAGGCCTGGGTAGTCTGAGTGTTGGGTGAGCCCCACCCGCCATGGAACTAGATCAAGGATCCCCTCTCTGTCTTTGGGGCAGGGACAGCTCTGAAAACCCTGGTGTTACTGAGCTTCGCCTGTGGCCGACCTAAGGACAGGACTTTGGTGGACTTCTCTCCTTCGCCCTCTCCCTGGGCCCTGTACACCATTCTTGTTCCCTGAGGTGTCTTCTTGAGCCAAGCCTCCTGCCCCAGAGCGTCTGTCTCGAGGCTTGATTTCTGGAATGGAGTAGGAATCCTGGCCACGGCAGTTCCCAGGTCTGGATTAGACTAGAGAACTGATTTATAATAAGTTGTTTAACCCTCATCACCTCCTTCAAGGTAGCTGCGATTGTCCCCATTTTAGGTGGAAGTAAGGGTTCAGAGAGGTGAAATGACTTGGTCAGGTCTCAGGGCCAGGAAGTGGGGCGGTTGGGTGGGAACCTGGGTCTGCTCCGTTCAAGGCAGAGATCAGAGTGAGCTCTCCTGCCTGGAATCACAGTCCCCTGCAGACTGCCACTGGGGTCCTTCTGGGGGCCACGGAAGACCCCTCCACCACGAGCGAGCCCTGTCTTTGTTCCGCATCTCTGGCCTGCACCAGCCCCCTGGGAACCAAGGTTCTGAAATTGCCAATTCAGGACCTTGGCCAGGGGCTCAGACGCTCCCACCCTTCTGAATTCTAAATACTTCTAAACTCATTTGAGATTCCTTGGCAGCGGAGAAAGGAAGAAAAAAAAAAAGTGCTTGACTTGCTCTTTTCTTTTTCTTAAAGAGATGGGAAGGTCATTATGGTAGCAAGTCCAAGGCCCCTGGACCAGTTAGTTGCAGTCTGGGCACAGGAGCTGACTTCTGATGTCTGCCAGGCTGGCAGAGGTTCATCCTTGCAGAGAGCCGGCGAGTCCCTTTTTAAACAGCGTTTCCGTGCCTCAGTCTTCTGCAGGGTCAACCTTTGGTCTCTAACCTCATCCCAGCTAGACCAGTGATTCAGCCTCGGGCTCGGATTATGCAGGCAGTTTACAGGGTGCCAGGAAACCTCCAGACTCCCAAATATATGGGCGCAGCGTGCTGCAGGACCGAACTCTGTCCTGACTGCAGACGAAACTAGGGACGCCCTGAGCATCACACATGCTAGATGCCCAGGGTTTTAGATGAGATTTCTCATTCCACCCTTGTAATTCCACTATGAAGACAAGAACAGGAGGCCCAAAGGGATCCTTGGCTTCCCTGAGATGGGGGAGTGCACTTTGGCGTTGAGTTGAGGACTCCCCGCTCCCCGCGTCTGGACGAGTCCCACCTCACGGACTTTTCTGCTGGTGACCCCTGCCTGGCTGTCTCCCGGGGGTTCACAAAGAGGACTTGACCCATGGGTCCCTGAAAGTACTCAGGTCGGGGTTCTCCAACAGGCAGATGACTGGATTGACATCCAAGGGTCAGTCAGGCCTGTCGGGGCCCAGGACAGGTGACCAGGTACGTGACAGAGTTTTACAAATGTGTAAGACCACGTCAGGCACCTTTCCAGGAAGAGGCCAAGCAGACAGTTGATGTGAGCACGGGAGGGGGGAGGAGTGCGCTGGGGCCATCACAGAGCGCCAGCAGACCTCGCTGTTCAACTAGCAGCACCCACAGGCAGGAGGGAGCTGCAGGGACTGCAGGATCTCCAGGGGCCCCGGGCCTGCTGCACCGGAATCTGCATTTAGCAAGGTGCCCGGGTGGCTGCAGTGACACTGATGATGGAGAAGCCTCTGGCTTCACTCCAAGCTGCTGTTGCCGGGCCTCCCCGGAGCCCTCTTGCCTCGGTGACTAGCCTGGGGCTGTGTCTGTCCGTGAGCCACGCATTGCAGATGAAGAATCTGGTGGCCCACCTCCATCGTTACCCTTCTCTCACCTCGCGTACGTTTTTAACGCAGGCATCGATGTGAGAATTCTTGCGACATTAATTTTCTGCCACAAAGTGTTTTGTGGAGCAAATTCCATTAAGCCATTTTAATCCAGGGTTTAATTTTCTATTCAGCTCATCTAAGCCATTTCCATTTTTTTCCATTAAAATGTTCATTTGTAACAAAATTGTTTTTGT